GGAGGGAGAGGAGCCACTCCCACCTCTCCCACGGCCCCCTGCTCGGCATCAGCCTTTTGGGGAGGAGGGTGCCGTGCCTGCCTTTAGCATTGCTGTAAGGCGCTGAGGTACACACGATGATCTCGATCTCATGGCATGCCTGTTGGCCTCGTGTCAGCCCCCAGCCGTGTGCCCTTGGGTTGTACCACACTGCGTCCGCACTGAGCTTTGCCTTTCCTCACGCCCTGAGCTTGCCCAAGCCTGTGAGCTTGTCTGGCTGGAGAGCAGGAGCAGTCTTCTACTCAGAGCCGGCGCAGGACTGGACCTCTCCTGTGCCTCCATGCTGGTCTCCTGCCTGCAGAGGCTGGAGGGAATATCCTGCCATCGCTCCCACTTCCCGTGACGTGCGGGTCTAGGGGCGTCCTCGCTGGCCAGGTTGTCTGGCCAGTGATGCTGGACCCTGGTTACCTGGGGACCAGGAGTTTATATTTAGCATTGCTAATGGAGCAATAGGCTGTCCCAGTCCCCGGCCCCAGCAGGAAGGGTTCGTACGGGGATGTCCTAATGAGACCAGAGCAACTTCCTATTCGTTCCTAAAAGGAGCAGTCTAACAAAGCTGCCAAAAATAAATCTGTTTAATGAAGAGCTTTTGTAAATTATTCAGATATTTTATCCCACTCCAGCACTGGTTCAAGGAGAGAGGCTGCACAGACACTTTCTTCTCTGAAGATCTGGACACAAGGTGAAAGTCATGAGGTCATTGGAATGGAAATCTGGGCTCTAAGATCCCGCTTTTACCCTGAGAGTACTGTCTCTTTTGCCTGGAGTTAAAGAGGAAGAAATAAAAAAGGCACACCAGCAATTCAGGCCCTGAGACAAGGAAGGTTTTTTCCTTCCCCCCTCCACTTCAGAACCTCTCTTGAGTCCCAACATCTAAAGCTGACTGCACACACAGGTGCTTTGCAGGATCGAGTCTGAGCAATTTGGGCCTCGCTGGTCACCACACGCCTCAGCACGGTGTGGACAGGACCTCACTGGAGGTGGGTGGTTCAGCCAGTGGCTCCTCCTTTGATTCTTGGTTGTGGTTTGAATGCTGTGGACTCTTTCAGCAGAAGCGGGGCTGAGACGCACCAAGCTCATTAAACTTCAGCTGCCATCTGTACAGCAGCTGCTAACAAACCCCAGTCCCACCCCAGGATGTAAAGCCTGGCTTTGCAGAGTCCCATCCCCCACTGCTACCCCATATTCGGACTTGTGTGAGGCATTTTACACGGCACAGCGGTTGGCAGCTTGCAGGCTTTCCGCCACAGCCTGCCCCGTGCCACGCTGCTGGTGCTCACAGGCTTCTCCCCTTCCACTCTCCCCGTTTTCCCAGCCCATCCTCGCCGGCAGCAAGGCAGCGGGGCTGGCTCCTGCTGCAACCAGGCCCGCCGCTTGTGCCCCGCAAAAAAAAAGGCTCCTGCTGCACCCAGCCCTGCAGCTTGGCTCTGGCTGGGGCCGGGCAGAGGAGCTGCCCGCTTCTGCTCCCTGGCAGCCCTGCCTGGCACATGCCGGACCTCGATGGCTTGCACACAGCAGCAAAACCCTTGTGCAAAGTTTCCCTGCTGACTTTAGTGTGGAACCACGTGGTTTCTAGTGCTTTAAAGCTGGAGGGGTTAATTCTGTGTTTTACTTTAGCATCTCAGGACTACATTCAGGTTTTCCTTTCTGCTGTTCTTGCACCTTGCCATCAGCAGTTGCAGGGACTGCATGTGGGAAGGGGTAGCATCTCTTGGGGCACAAGGAGAGGTGCTTGGGACTAGGGAGGCATTTTCATGGAGCATGTCTTGGCCAGGATCCCTTGGGTGGGTTGCATGTGGGCCATTCCCACACACCCCGTGATGCAGCCCTGCTGTCCCAGAGCAAAGGCCACTTTCTCCCTTCTCCACACACCACTGTCATGGGCTGCACACAGACTTGTTGCCTGTGACTTGGGTCAGGACCCCGCAGGGACCTCAGGACCCCGTTGGCATCCCCGAGGGCCAGAGCAGAGGCTGGCAGGGGGCTGGCGTCTGGCCACCGTGTTCCCACCTTGCTAAGCTGTGCGACAACCCCTTGTCTGCCCCTGACCTGTCCCCCTTGCAGGAGCCGCTGCTGCCCAGCCACCC